TAATTCAATTAGGTCCAATTAATTATATGGTCCACAATAATAGAATAATATAAATATTATTACACTAAAAACTAAAATAGAGTTTAAATTGAAGTGCCACTAGGCACCAGCTATTGGAATCAGAAAAAGTGGACCAACCTCCATTTGATCCGCACAGGTGACAAAAGGGGTATAAACTCCATGATGGAGATACACCCTCAAAACACAACTCTCCAAAGTGGAGAAGGTAACTCCATATAGGAGACTGATATCCAGACATATATAGCTGGGCTGAGCAAAACAAAACGCAACAAAAGTTGCATTTGAAACACACTTCGATTTGAATGAAGTTGCATTTTTTATTTACTTTTTATTGATAGTTATTGAATGTAAGCGGTGACAGAGAAAGAATGAAAACTATGATTTCATTAATAGAGTGAAAATGAATTGTGTAACATGTAGCTAGGGTAGGCTCGCCCGAGCTCCAACTCAGTCTTAATTTTTGGTGTGTTTTAAATATATTGTAGTAAAAAATATTTTAGCTCATATATATTAATTTGTCTTATGATAAATTTATTTTGCTTAAATCTATTTAATTTTATTTTAGAATAAATCAACAAATGTATATGTGTGCATGGTCTTATTCTAATTCGTAAACTTGTCATTTTTTATATGGTCAAATAGAATACAAATTGGCAATTTTATTTTCAGATATTATCGATTCATATTATTTATATTATTTCATACAGAATACATCAATTATTTGTGATTTTTAAATTGATGATAATTGGATATAAGAAATATACAACTTAACCTCATGTAGTCATAAAACTATTCAATAAAATCACATTGAAATCTTTAAAATTTAAGTGAAATGCCATGTAATAAGTATGTCGGTTAATATGTTCAAATGATCCATTCATCTCATAGTAGATGAGAATAATTTTTTTTTCTATTTTTAAATAAATAATTTAAAAAAATCAATTGAAAAAATGCATTGATGAGTTTATGTTAAATGAGGGCAATCTCTATATAAAATAAAGCCAGAACGTATATGTTTGTCCTATTTTTGTCGCGTTTTTCGTGTTTGTTTTGCCTTTCTTTTTCCCCCGTTTTAGGTCTTTTCCTTCGCTTTTAGTTCGTTTTGTGTTTTGTTTCATGTTTTTTTTTAATTTGGAGTTTTTCTGTGATTTTTGTTTGTTCTTCCGCTTTCTGCGTTTTTTCTAATTTGAAGGAGAAAAATGGTTTGGCGTGCTTAATTTAGTAGAAGGATGTGTTGGCGTTACACAGGAAAAAACGGAATCAAATTCCAAGTCCAGACGAGCTCGAACGAACCTAAGAAGCAAAGTGATACAATTCGGCACGAGCTCCCAGCCCACTATGCCAGGCTCCGCGCCGTGACCCCCGTCACAGGCCAACAGAGACTCCTGCCCCAGGCGGCACACCCGCGAAGGCCTTCGCGCCGTGGCAGTGCCCGCGCTCCATGCCGCGGCCTAGCTCCAACTTCACGCCGCGCGCCATCTCGCGGCACGCGCCACGGGCAGATAGAGAATGCGCCCTTCCTCAGCGTCAATTTAATGACACACGTTTTTTACCTTTAAATTATTAAAAATGATAATCATTTTCATTTAATTTATAAAATAATACATGTCAAATACACATATATCAAGAACTTTATTAATTTTTTTTTAAATTCTTTCCAAACATGATTAAATTATAAGTATGTTCTACATTAAATCGGTGTATCTCTCATCTATTAATTTTTTTATCATAATTGTATTGACATAAGTTGAAACACCGAAATAACCCCTATAAGTGTAATATTTATCTATGGTAATCTAACTATATTTTTATATAACTCTAAAATAAGTTAAAACATTTAATATACTAATAAAAAATAATAATATAGTATATTATATATTTAAATAGCTTGCAATCTACATGTATATATACACACACATACTTTTACTCATTCTATAACTAAAATATTTCTTTGTAGAAACTAATTTTAATTAACTAAATGAACTTTTTAAAAACGTGTCGTCATCTATACTTATATGAAAAGGTATACCATTTACCAGATTTAGTATAAAGAAAAGTCAACAACATTTATTGCATTACTATTTCCATATTATACAATCTATACTTATATAAAAGAAGATTCTATTTATTATATTTACTATCCAGAAAAGTCAACTGCATTAAATGTCATTACTATTTTGGTATTATAATATTTTATTTATTTAATTGATTTATTTATTTATTTTATTTTAAAAAGGTAAGTATAATAAAAAGATTTTAATAATAACAAAATCAAATACCAAATAAAAATGTACACTTTGACTTATTTGATTATATTTGGTATTTGATTATACCAAATATATTCCTATTTAGTATATACATACTTACTAAAGTATTTATTTGTTTTATTTGTCAAAGTTAAGTATATATTTGTTTATATTATCAAATCATAAAAAAATATTAAATCCATATTGTGAAAAAAAAATCATATAATTTTATAACAATTCTACTACACTATTTTACAATATTTATTTTTTATTATATAATAAAATAATAATTAAATATTATATGGTGAACAACAATAAGTAAAACTGTTACTTTCTCTTTAATCAAGGGATAAATTTATATGCTAAAATTAAATTTTTATTAGTATAAATGTTTTAGTGAGATAATATATTAATTATTTTACAAGCTAGCCCTAACATGCTCATATTTAATCTTTTAAAAGATGTAGAAAAAAAACTTATAATAACTCTATTTTTTTTTAGACTTAAACGTTGATTAAAAGAGGTAAAATTCCTAATTTTTTAGACTTAAACGTTGATTAACACCATAGATTGAGAGTTTATATTTAGTAAAATTCCTAATTGTAATAACAAAATTAATTTTTGCTATATTTTAGAATATCTTTAAATTCATTATAAAAAAAAAAAGAAAAAAAAATACAATGAAAAAAGCAAGTCAGCTATATATCGATTTGTTGTACTCCTTAAATCACATTCACAATTTGGCTACAAGGAAAGGAAATTCATTAATTAAATTTTATTTTGTCAGTAGTCTTAATGTACAATAGACTTTAAGACTCCACTTGAATATTATAAAACTTTTAGTGAACATTGTATAATTTTCTTGCGTATTATAAACATTTATTGAATATTGCATCTTATAATATAATATTCTCCAAATAAATATATCTCGTGCTTTGCATGGGTCACGTACTATATATCCCATACATTTTTCTTTATTCATGTATATAATTATAAGCCTGGATAAATAGCCTTAAAATTGTGCACCCCGTGCATCGCATGGGCTCTGTACTAGTTTATGTTATGGGCCGTGTATATTTGGTAATTGTGCAATAAATCTATATATATACAATAAGAATTAACATTTTTAAAAAATAGTAAGCAAAAAAATAGGGAATATTAATTGCATTCTATTTTTGGTATGTTTTTTTATTTTTTTAATAAAAAAACAAGTAGCATTCAATGCTAGCATAAATCATGGAATTTGTTATATAGATGCATATTTAAATTTCAAACTTCAAACAAAACATGCCTAAATGTATTTTAAATTTTTTAGGGAAAAAATTTAGCAAACACGTTTAAGATTACATACAATACATATTTTTATATGTTATCTTAACATATAGGTTAATTAGTTTCATATCTAACCAATATATATTTAAACAATATATAAACAAATATAACAATTTTTTGTACAATACAGACAAATATATAAACAATATATTTTATACAAATATAATAAACAATACAAACAAATATACAAACAATATATAAACAAATATAATAACTTGTCACGTGTATATTTCGTACAATACATATATTTATATATATTATCTTGACATATAAGTTAATTAGTTTCATATGTAAACAATATATATTTTAGGAACCTAAAGATTCATAACATTACTGACGTCATGTATATTTATAATATATTGTCACGTACATTTTACTATAATTGGTAACTTTTTTAAAATTATTTGAATAACTGGAGGTTGATTTGTAATTTAAATTTCAAATTCATTCAAACATTTAAAGGAAAATATCATAAGCAGATTTTTTTGATACATTTCATTTTATCTCAACTTACATATAATCACATTCTTACCAAACATTAAATTTGCTTATATCTTTTTAAATTAATTACATCAATAAATAATATTAATATACATTACATATTTATCATTATATAACAAATATATTACTTCTACAAGTGTTATAAATAATAATGACATTATATGATAATAGATTTTTTGATAGATTAATAATTGAGTATTATGATGAACCAAAATATGTAAAATTATTATTATTTTGTATTAAAAAATAAATATATATGTTAAAATATTATTTATAATAATATAAACGGGTCAGCATGCTAATATATTGTGAAAATAAAATTTAAAAAAAAAGTTCTAAAGTACAGAAACCCCGTGCATCGCACGGGATTCTCACTAGTTTTATATTAAACATGTTAAAAAAAATTTCATATACTATAATAACTTAATTAGATTATATAATTTTAAAATTGTTGTGCGCATGATTTTAAAACTGTTGTGGTCTATGGGAAGAATTTTTGTGTTCTCTCGTTTAAGAATAAAATTGACAAAAATAAATTATACAACTTTCACGTTTGACGAGAAAATATTTATGTATCATACCAAATCTATTTAGTCGCTTTACTCATTGACCTATGCGTTTGTCCAATTTTCTGTCACGACTCACCAATGAAGCATTTATTAGACCTCTTCTCCTTCTAATGGACCATATCCCAACTCCACCACTTTAAAAACTACACCAATTTATTCTCTCAAACAAACCATTTTTTTCCTTCCACAACTAATGCTCGCCATGAACCACAACACAACCCTTCTCATACCCTCCAAATCCCTTCACATCATCATATCGCCCACCGGACTTTAGCACACACCCGCCGGAAAACGACCGTATTCTCGGGATCCGCCGTTAATTTCTCCCAAAATGTACAGCCCAATGAAGCGCGGCGTCCGCCCTCTGTACACCATCCTCCTGCTCATGGCTATGGCGGCCACTCTCACCTACAAGATCCTATTCCACCAGAACTGTTCCTTCCAGCTGGCATACGAAGCCTTTTCCATCAAAAGCCCTCGAAGGCCTGTTTTCAACGAAACTCTGTTGAAACACGCGGCCGTCGACCCCGGCGAGCCCCTATTGAAGCGGGAGATCGATGACCTGCTTGAGGGGAACTTCAGGACACGTGGCCGCCAGAGGTCGTTCCTGTCTTCCGGAAACCCTCGCATCGACCTGCGCAACAGCCACAGGCTCGGCTCGCCGGATTTTTCCGAGCGCTTGTTAATTTTAAGGAAATACTTGGGCGATTGGTCCCGAAATCGCAAATTCAGTTCGAATATAATGTCCGAATTGGCCGACGAGGTGAAATCCCTGATCGACGAGCAGAATGGGCCCTACAAGAGCTGTGCCGTGGTGGGAAATAGCGGGATTTTGCTGAAGAGTGATTACGGCGCGAAAATCGACGGCCACGAGGTTGTGATCCGTCTGAACAATGCCCGGACAAAGGGGTATGAGAAGAATGTGGGGGCAAAAACAAATATCTCGTTCGTCAATAGCAACATATTGCACTTGTGTTCCCGTAGGATAAATTGTTTTTGTCATCCGTACGGCGATAATGTGCCGATCGTCATGTATATCTGTCAGCCCAGGCATTTCTTCGATTACTTGGCGTGCAATTCTTCGCATAGAGCTCCTTTGACTGTGACGGACCCTCGTTTTGACGTGTTGTGTGCTAGAATCGTAAAGTACTATTCTCTGAAGAGATTTGTTGAGAAAACGGGGAAGGATGTGGGAGAGTGGGCCCCGGCTCACGGTGGCGTGTATTTTCACTACTCGTCCGGAATGCAGGCAGTTATGCTGGCGCTTGGTGTTTGCGAAAAGGTTAGCATTTTTGGTTTTGGGAAATCGGAGTCGGCCAGGCACCATTACCACACGTTTCAGAAGGCTGAGCTGTCGTTGCACGATTATGAGGCGGAGTACGATTTTTACCGTGATTTGGTGGAGAGGCCATGGGCAATACCGTTTGTGTCGGATAAGTATGAGTTCCCTCCGGTTGTAATGTATCACTGACTACTTGTTTGTATATTGGTTAAGTGAATAACGGTTTGTTTTCTTGTGTGGAGTTTGAGTGATGTTGTATGTGTGTGTGTGTGTGAGACGAGAATGTGAATGATAGAAAGAAGGCATACTTTGGGTTGTAAGGGAAACTAAAGAGAGAAAATCACACGTTGTGTTGTGTTGTGTTGTGTTGTGTTCAACTGTTTTCGTTCAGTCATACCATCTGTGGATACAAATTGATGTGGTACTTGCTTATTTCATCTTCATTTAATTTGCATTTGCTTGGTTACCATCAAAGCATGATGAGTTTGGGACTATCTTTGACATGCGGCAAGTACCTCGAGCAGGGCTGGAAAGAAAAACAACTCACAAACTTCACATACTACAATGGTTTGCTCTTGTGAGGACAAACTATACCCAGCAGCCAAAGCACACCAAAATACGCTTTTCCATGCCATAAAGAAGGCCGCAAAAGAGTATACGCGTGAATTTGATGAAAACATACAATTTCTCCAACTCTTTTTACCGGGATCATCAAGAGTTGCCCCTGACATGTCCCCTATGAAACGTGAAGCCACATTTATATCCCTAATCGTCTCAAACGCAGCAACACCCCTGCATGGTTTTCTCGTTAACATGATTTTATTTTTTTTTCAATTTTCAGAACCTATAGATCATATCACATTAATTACAATCCCATTTTTAGAACATCACTCACATGATCTGCTATGTCGCGAAAATCATGGAACACGTAAGGCCTGGTAGAGGGCATAAGAGTAAAAATATGCTGGCTAAACATATTTTCCCATCTACAGACATGATGAAAATTATGAATAAAAAATAAACTTGCGAACCATCGAGGCACCGCATGGCAAATACTAACATAGTGAAATTTAGCACAAAAAATATTGAAAATTTGATTACTTCTGGTTATATAAGGCTGAATGATCAAGTGCATGACATATTTCAATATTTCTATAATCTAAATTACTTACTATATACAAAAAAAATCCAAGTCCAGTAAAAATCAGTTAGAGAAAGATTTCTTGGATGGCTTAAGATGGAAGTAACAAAAATAGTAAAATACACTGCTACAATACTAATTAATTAAATTTAGTAATCACAGGGTGAGGAATTAGGTGAATTAAATTTAGTTACAATAAATACTTAACACAGGCAGTATTCAAAATCTAATCGCTAATTTTGTTCATCGTATGGAACATTCTAATCATCAGACATGTCATACTCTGTGAATATGCATACTTATTTTATTACACGTAATATATATACTTTTATTTCATTTTTTAGAGTATGACATTTTTTATAAAAGTATAGAGCATACCGCACCGGTCTAATAATTTATCATGCCTAACAGAAACACTACTTTTTGGTCGTATCAGGCCGAATGACTTGGGCATATAAGTTTCCTAATTTGGACCTATTCTTGACCAACTCTAATTTTCTACTAGAACATGCAATATTATTAGATTATATTAATTGTATTTTACATTCTTTTTATTATTTGCAAGTAGGTCCTTGGAGTTCTAATATATTCAGTACCTGTCATAGTATAAATGTTGGTTTTAGGGTTTGAGGAACACACTTTTCATTTTCCCGATTTTCTGTTTTCTCTCTCTCTAAGAGCAGAAGCCTTCTTCTCTCTTTTCTGTAATCTTTCTTCAATTCAATGAAAGTTTATTGTTGTTTTTACTTTTATTATGGTATCAGTTTCCAGATCTTCTCGATCCGTTTGATTTTTTGTTGATTTTTTTTCCGCTGCACATCGTTTTTTTTCTTTCTCTTCTCGCGATTTTTTTTGGTTCTCCTTCGATCGATTTCGATCTGCTCTCCATTATTCAGATCTAAGGTCTACTCTCTCATTTTACAAGAGGAAAGCCAAAGAAATTTACAAAACTCTAAACCTTTTGAATCTGTTGCTATGTTGGCCAAGTCTACTTCAAAATATTTCAAAGATCCTGCACCAAAAGACAAGAAACGTTTTAAATGTGATCATTGTGGGTACAATCATCCAACTGAAAAATGTTACCAAGTTATTGGTTACCCTGCTAATTGGATTGGTCCTAAGGGTCCTAGAATTCATCCTTCTCACCCTTCTGCTCCCAATGCTAATGCCAATGCTGTTGTTATTTCCAATTCTGTTCCTCCCAAGCAATCATCAAATTCCTTGACTGACAGTTTATTTGCTGAGTTCTTAGAATATAAGAAATCTGTTGCTAACAGTCAGAGAAAGGCTCAGGCTGAGTCAACCCCTATGGCTGCCACTGTTCATATAGAACAGCCAGGTACCACATCTATTTCATGTCAGTCTTCTGTTACTGTTAATGCTCATACTTGGATTCTTGATACGGGAGCTACTGACCATATGATTTGTGATCCTACACTCTATACTAATAGGCCTTCAAATACATCTATTACTATCAAATTACCTAATGGACATAGTACTTCTGCATGCCATGTGGGACAGGTTAACCTGGGGCCTAATCTTGTGCTGCAGAATGTACTCTATGTTCCAGCCTTTACTTTTAATCTCATTTCAGTTTCTAAGCTAACTGCATCAAATAATTGTTCTGTCATTTTTGCTGCCTCTTCTTGTGTTTTACAGGACTTGCAAACCAACAGAATGATTGGTTTTGCTAAGGCCAAGAATGGACTCTATCATTTTTCTTTATCTTCTTATCATGATGTTCATTGTGCTAATGTTGATTTGACAAACAATGTTTCTGATACTCATGTAATAGACAATGATAAGTCTGTTTCTTTACTTTCTTCACCTGAACTATGGCATAACAGACTTGGTCATTTGTCCTTTCACAAGATTGCTCAATTACCTGCATGTTCTAATTCTCAAAGCAAGTATTTAGCTAATATGCCTTGTGACACTTGCCACTTTGCTAGACAAAAGAAATTACCATTTGAAAACAGTGTTTCCATTGCATCTGAATCTTTTGAGCTTGTTCACTGTGACTTATGGGGACCATTTTCTGTGCCTTCTCACTCTGGTCATAAGTATTTTCTTACAATTGTTGATGATTATAGTAGAGTCACATGGATATATCCTCTCATTCACAAATCTGATACTAATCAGTACCTGCAACATTTTTATAATCTAGTTCTCACACAATTTCAGAAAAAGATAAAGGTTTTGAGAACTGATAATGGTACTGAGTTTTTACTGCATGACTTTTACTCTTCAAATGGTATTATCCATCAAACATCTTGTGTGGAAACCCCACAACAAAATGGTAGAGTGGAAAGAAAGCATCAACATTTACTTCAAGTTGCTAGAGCCATCTTATTTCATGCTCATTTACCTATTAAATTTTGGATTGATTGTGTCACTGCTGCTACTCATATCATTAATAGATTACCATCTTCCATTCATAAAAACATCTCACCTTTTGAAAAACTGCATGGAACACAGCCTAGTCTTGATCACTTGAAAGTTATTGGCTGCTTATGTTATGCATCAACCATCTCTGCACATAGGTCAAAATTTGAACCCAGAGCATCAAAATGCATTTTACTTGGTTATCCCCTTGGTTGTAAAGGGTATAGACTTTACAATTTGGAAACCAAGCATATATTAATATCCAGGAATGTCTCATTCTATGAGCACGTATTACCATATAAGCATACAAAATTCCTTTCTGACACAGACACACATATGTTTCCTGAACCACCACCCTTTGTGTTTGATTCTCATCCAATACCAAGTACTTCACCTCTGAATGCTACTACCTCCAACTCAATACCCAATCTTACTACTACTGCCACTCCCATTACTTCACCTCTGACTACTACTAACCCCAACCCAATACCCAATATTCCTACACTACCTATGGCCACAGTTCCAACACAATCAGATTCAGCACCCTCCACTTCTCTCAGAAGATCATCCAGATCAAGACAGCTGCCTTCATACCTGAACATATACAATCATTCTATACCTCATTCTTCTAATTCTTCTATGGTAATACATGATACTAATCCTGGTACACCCTATCCCATTAGTAATTTTTTATCCACTTCATCATTATCACATGATTATGCTTGTTACACTGCATCCATTTCTCATATCACTGAACCAAAGACATACAAACAAGCTAATCTAGATCCATTATGGCAAGAGGCTATGAAAAAGGAACTCAGTGCCCTAGAAAATACTAAAACATGGGAACTTGTAGACTTACCCAATAATCAGCACTGTATAGGCTGTAAATGGGTTTATAAAGTCAAATACAAGTCAGATGGTAGTATAGAAGAGATACAAGGCTAGATTAGTAGCCAAAGGTTATACACAAGAGGAGGGCATTGATTATTTTGATACTTTTTCACCTGTAGCCAAAAGTACTACTGTCAGATTGCTCATTGCATTAGCATCCATTTCAAACTGGCACATCCATCAATTAGATGTCAATAATGCATTCCTACATGGGGATTTGGATGAAAATGTTTACATGACACCACCCCCTGGATATTTACATGATTCTGATCTTAGAGTTTGCAAATTAAAGAAAAGTCTGTATGGTCTTAAACAGGCCTCGAGACAGTGGTTTCAAAAACTCACAACTTGTTTATTGCATTATGGATTCTTACAGTCCACAGCTGATTCTTCACTGTTTGTTCATTCCTCTACTGATTATACACTTATCATGCTTGTCTATGTGGATGACATCATTGTGACTGGTGATAATCTTAATGCTATTCTTGATATCAAAAATCATCTTGATTTATGTTTCACTCTCAAAGATTTGGGCACCCTAAAATACATTCTTGGCATTGAAATAGCTCATTCTGATAAAGGCATTCAACTTTGCCAAAGAAAATATGTATTGGATATCTTATCAGACACTGGTTACCTTGCTTCCAAACCTGCTACAACACCAATGGATCCTAATTTGAAATTATCCTCTACCATTGATGATTCTGTTCTTGTTGACAGTACTTCCTACAGAAAATTAATTGGCAGGTCACTATATATCACAATTACT